TCATTGCTGCTTTACTAAGTGAACAAACCATTGTGTTCACTTCCTCCAATTACTCAATGCCAGCATTAGTTATACAAGTAAGAGAATGTAGTATTGTACATAGGGCTGTGAGGTATACCTATATTTCTATATACCGAGGTATTACTTTTAGATATAGAAGGTATATATTTAAGTTTCGAAGGTTTTTAATATAGTATCAACTACTAATACCGTTATACCGTCAATACCGTACTTTTACAGTACTTTAGTAGTGCCAAATACAAAGAATTATAACACCATTTTGTGCCTGACACAGTGCAATGGCTAGTTTTTATCTTTAACTTCAAAATCACTTAAATTAAGTAGAGTACTTGCCAGCATTCAAAGCTAAAAGATTAATTAATTAAATTATTAATTAATTATTTTAGTATTTTTAAATACATTACTATATTTAGTAATACTGGGATGTTTTGTCAATACCGTACCGAAGTATCATTATATTTAATACCTCACAGCCCTAATTGTACATGCATTATTTGTGCATGTACATATTATTTTTATTATATGTCTATGTATGTGTACATGTACATGCATGTATACAAGTATATTATCAAAATGATGGTTAAAGTTTAATACTGTACATGTACATATTGATGCATGTAAATTATGTAAAAATCACTTGAATTATTACTTCATTTTCATTTTAATTCTCTTTTCCTTCTAGTGTTTGTTGAGTTACATCTCTCCCTTTGAGTGGCGTCACAGTATAGTACCAACAGTTCCTGATAACTTCATTGATATACTCGGAGCTCCTAGCATTAACATACTGGGCTGCCACTCCAACTGGCACGAGTCACCTGAGTTCACTAATGTAAGGAGTAGTGGATTTTTTTATTATTTAAAAATACTTGTATTTTTAAAAGTAAGCATGGACTATACTATAGCCCATGCTTTTTTCAAATGTCTCCAAATTTATTGATGTCCTCCATTTTTATCATTTAAAACTAACTTTTGGGAAAAAGCATGGACATGTATATGGCCCACTGTTTTTCAGAAAAATGGCTCTAAAATTACCCCAATTTTATTGCATTTTCTGATACACATTGATGTCCTTATGCTATATAGAAAGTTTGAGCAAATTTTGACTTAAATTTTAAAGCTATGACCATTTTTAAAATGGGTAAATTTCTGAAAAATTCCCTGTACTATAACCCATGGCTCTGAAATCACCCCCCATTTTTATTACATTTTCTTATTGATGTCCTCCAATAGATTGATGATGCTGTTATTGTCAAATT